TTTTCTTAAAACCACTATTGAATATAAAAATAAAATAAAAGCTAAGTTATGAGGTAGAAAAGAAATTAAAAACTAAAGTGTTGTAATTCTAAATCAATGTAAAAAATTAAGATGAATGATGATGTGGGGTTTATATTATACATTATATTTGTTAGTATAATCGATAATTAGTAAGTTTTTTTAACTCTTAATCAATTATCTTTTTTAGTTTTATAATATATAATATATAAAAAGACCTTTCATATTCATTTTGGAAAAAACTTATTTACATAGGTTTAAATATTAAAATTAAATGATAAAATGGTATAATTAATTTTTAAAATTAAATAATAAAATGAGGTGGATGATGATGTGGCTTAAGGAGAAGAGAGAAAAAGTTAACTTTATATATATAGATTATTATGTTTTGTTTCAAATTTCTCTTATTAGTTATTAATTATAGTATCCTCCATAAAAAACTGTAAAAACCTAATAACTTATGTAAATTTTCAAATTCTGAATATACATAATTTTCATTTTGATAGTCGTATATGCGGCTCAAGTATACAACTGAGGTCACAAATCATGAACTTAGATTTATGTACAGTATTTGTATAAGTGACCTCATTTTTTTTAACAACTTTAAACTTTTATTAGACTTAAATATATTACTTTAAAAACATAATAGAAATTACCCAACCAAGGAGGTGGTGTATAAAAAGTTTGATTCAGTGCATTCATTAAAGACGCTTTACGAGAAAGAATCTTTATTAATGATTTTCTTATTACTCTTTTTTATTACCTGGCAAAAAATATTCTAAATATTAAACTTTTTATGTCCAATAACTTAATCTTTTTATAATATCCAAAAAATTAGTTTTATTTCAAAACAAATTATTTCATTTCATATTTTTAAAAGTTTGAGAATTAAATAAAACTAAATCAATTAATAAAAATCAATTTATACTATAAATTAGTCTTTTCATCAGCGATATAGGCGGTCGTCTACAGGTGTTAGACGCTCAACCAATGCCTAAACTACCTAAAATTACATGAGATAGGCTACATTTTTGTAATTTTTAGTTTTTTATATTTAAATGTTGTAAAAGTTTTACATCTATAAACGTTTACATGTTGTTGACAAAAATTAAATAATTTATTTTTCTTATGATCTATCTTAACACTTTTGAAGTATATTTTGTACTAAAATCTATTTTGTGTTATAACCTTTTAGTTTGCAATATTTTCATAATTAAAACCTTGCCATTTGAACAAATAACAAAACTTAAAAGTAAAATTTGTAATTAAGTCACAAGCAAATCGCAAAACTGGAAACAAATATATATTGCATCAAAAATTTTTCCTAAAATTTAATCTCTAATAAATCGAATCTCTCTCCAATAAATTTATATAATCTTATTTTTTTTTAATTTATATTATTACATAAAAATATATTTATTATAAAAATACAAATTTTTTTCCACACATTTTGCAATTAAATTTTTTGAAAACGGACCTATATAACTCAATCGATAAAGGAGAAAATATATGTACAACGTCTACATAAGGTAGAAAAATTTAGATAATAGTTCAAAACCATTATAGATATGACTAATATGTTCACAAATAAAAATGAGCATGAAATTTGATTTCTCATGTATCCAAACTTAAATATTTTATTCAGTTTAATCCGGTTCTTTATTTAAGAAAAATAAAACTTTTAAAAAGTTTCAAAATATTATAGCTTTTAATTTTTAAAAAAATTTAAAATATTATAAATATTAAAACTTTTAAAAGCTGCAAATTATAATATTTAATTTAAGTTTTATAGAATATTTATAATATTAAAAATATTTAAGCACTACAAAAGTATTATTATTATGTTAACTCTAAAATATTTAAAATATAATAATATTGTACATAAATATGATTGAACGTGTTTGAGTTTACATAAATATGATTATTCTATTCTTACGGGTTGTCTATATTTAAAATCTTTTACGGGTTAGTTAAAATATAATATTTCTTACAACAAAATCGTCCCGCGGTGTACCATGGGTTTACCAGATATATCTACGGATCTACTTATAAAAAAAATTCATAAAATTATATAAAATGAAAATGATATAAACACATATAAAACTAGACTATATAAACCAAATACGAAAATGATCAACAAACAAATATATTAAATTATGGATCCGTAGTGTACCACGGGATAAATCCTAATATTTATTTATGATTTATTAATTTCATTTCTCTAGCATATATTTTTACATAATTTATATTTATATTTATTATACATATAATATGTTATAAATGTCTAAACTGCCTAAAATAATCTAAGTCTCTATTAAATATTTTAGGAGCCGGTTGCACTTATATACCGCCTATCGCTTTATTGAACATTATTAATACGATTAGTTATTATAAGCTTAAAACCAAAAAAAAGTTTCAATACCAAATTTTTTTTTTATCATAATCCTAATCCTAAGTTACTAAAATTATTAATTTATAGAGATTTTGTGGTATTATAAAAAGCAATAATCAAGGCTTGCTCACTACTCATAGCTAAGTGAGAAGTCAAAGTTTGCTTCTACGAGACACAACAAATGTGCCGACTCCATTCCCGACTCCATAGCCTACCAAAGATGACTCAGAACCTAAGATGCCGAACACAAAAGACATAAAAGATGACGTATGCAAAGACGTGAGATTCTGATATTTGTCAATTAATTAATCTTGATCTTCTTGTGTCTGTATATATATTAAGTCGATATGTCGGAAACTGGAAACACTCTTTGTTCTGTCTGATCACTTAACACAGTTCACTTCTTAAATTTGCAGTAAAAAATTTCCATTCTTGTTCTGTTTTCTTTTGAGTTTCTATCTTCATCCTACAACCAAACATGAACAGAGAGAGAACTCATATTTTGTTCTTCCCTTTCATGGCTCATGGCCACATGATTCCAACTCTAGACATGGCCAAGCTTTTTGCGAGCAGAGGAGCCAAATCAACTCTTCTCACAACTCCAATCAATGCTAAGATCTTGGAGAAACCTATTGAAGCATTCAAAGTTCAAAACCCTGATCTCGAAATCGGAATCAAGATCTTCGATTTTCCTTGTGTAGAGCTTGGATTGCCTGAAGGATGCGAGAACGTTGACTTCATCAACTCATACAAAGAATCTGACTCAGGTGACTTGTTCTTCAAGTTTCTTTTCTCTATTAAGTATATGAAACAGCAGTTGGAGAGTTTCATTGAAACAACCAAACCAAGTGCTCTTGTCGCCGATATGTTCTTCCCCTGGGCGACAGAATCTGCTGAGAAGTTTGGTGTTCCAAGACTTGTGTTCCACGGCACATCTTTCTTTGCCTTGTGTTGTTCGTATAACATGAGGATTCATAAGCCACACAAGAAAGTCGCTACGAGTTCAACTCCTTTTGTAATCCCTGGTCTCCCCGGGGATATAGTAATCACAACAGACCAAGCAAATGTTGTTGTCGACGAAGAAACTCCATTCGGAAATTTTTGGAAAGAGGTCAGGGAGTCAGAGATTAGTAGCTATGGTGTTTTGGTGAATAGCTTTTACGAGCTGGAATCTACTTATGTTGATTTTTACCGTAGTTTTGTGGCGAAAAGAACTTGGCACATCGGTCCCCTTTCGCTATCCAACAGAGAGCTTGCTGAGAAAGCTGGAAGAGGGAAAAAGGCTAACATTGATGAGCAAGAATGCCTCAAATGGCTTGACTCTAAGACACAAGGTTCAGTAGTTTACTTGTCCTTTGGCAGCCGAGCTAGCTTCACCAACGAACAGCTGTTAGAAATCGCTTTCGGTCTTGAAGGCTCTGGACAAAACTTCATCTGGGTGGTTAGTAAAAATGAAAACCAAGGTATGTTTTCTTAAATGTTAACACCATAACAACGAGTAGATTGGTTTATGTACTTTATATATATATTACTTTGTAGACTTCTCATAACAATTATGACTTGGTATTGGTGTGACAGGTGAAAGTGAAGAGTGGTTGCCTAAAGGGTTTGAGGAGAGGACTAAAGGAAAAGGAATGATAATACGTGGATGGGCACCACAAGTGTTGATACTTGACCACAAAGCAATTGGAGGATTTGTGACACATTGTGGATGGAACTCGACTATGGAGGGCATTGCCGCGGGGCTGCCTATGGTGACTTGGCCAATGGGGGCGGAACAGTTCTACAACGAGAAGCAATTGACAAAAGTGTTGAGAATAGGAGTGAACGTAGGAGCAACCGAGTTGGTGAAAAAAGGAAAGTTGATTAGTAGAGAGGAAGTGGAGAAAGCAGTGAAGGAAGTTTTAGTTGGAGAAGAGGCAGAAGAAAGACGGATAAGGGCTAAGAAGCTAGGCGAGATGGCTAAAGCCGCTGTAGAGGAAGGAGGGTCTTCTTATAGTGATGTTACCAAGTTTATGGAAGAGTTGAATGGTCGAAAGTAAATAAAAATAGAACATGTTTAGTGTTGTATTGATGTGAATTAAGTTTGTCTAACCAAGTGCTAATAGATCAATTGGTAAGATTTCTGGCAAAAACTTAGGGGTCGCTGGTTCGAGTAGCGCTTGGGACGAGATCATATAACATGCTCTTATTTCGGATCTAAGGGATGTATAGGTTTCGGCCTAGAACGTCTTAGTTATTCAAAAAAACATAAGTTTGTCTAGTCTTGTGGTTCGTTTGGAAACCTTTTGGGCTGTGCACTTTGTTCTAATCTTTGTCAATAGAGCCGAAGTGAAATCTAATCCATGAAAATGTCTAACATAATATCAACTGCATCTTTCATGGCCAAAATCAATATATATTCTTTGATTATCCAATATTTTTATTAAATAATATAAGTATGGATATAAAAATATATATTAAATTAGATATGTCATGTAACTTAAATTTGTAATGGATTTTCTTTAAAATTATAATTAAATTGAAGAATAATTTAAAATGGTAAAGAGAAAAATATGGAATGTGTAAAATTAGATCCTGTTCGATCGGAATTACAATAGGTGGATAGTCTAAATTAGAATTTTTGAATGTGAGATAATCTACATTCAACTATTTCATATATAAATGCTTGAATGTAAAGGATACATTGTTCCTTATTTCTACTTTCCTAAAATACCGTTAAATTCATATCTATCATATTGATTATGAGGAATTTTTTTCAACTCTCTTTCACTGCTCTAATTGTCTTCATTGTACTAGGACTAGGTTTCTAAACAATTATTTAATTATATAGATTTATCCGTTTAAAAAAAGTAGAGAACTTTGTTTTAAAAATATGTATAAAACAAAATATAACATGTGTTAGAGCACGCACGTGTACTGATGTAGTATTAATTATGAGGAAAGTTTTTTAACTCTCGTTCACCGTTCTAATTGTCTTCATTGTACTAGGTTTAGGTTTCTAAACAATTATTTTATTATATAGATTTACCCGTTTAAAAAGAACTTGGTTATATTTATCATGATATATTTATTAAAAGAAAAAATTCTATGTTACATAACATATGTGTCACAACTTTATTTTAGTAATCCACAAAAGTGTCATTTATCAGTTTATTTAAAAATGTTTGGTTCATTCCTACACTTTTAAATATGTATCTTTTAATATCTTATGAAGAACTATCGTGATATGAACTGATTTGCAATATTTTTATAGCCTTTTATTTGAAATTATTGTTATAGTTTTATTTTTCCTCAAGCTGCATACATAATTAAATATATCATGCTGTATTTTATGATTCATTAATATATATATGCTATAGCTTACTTTGAAGCATAAAAGATAGTCTTCAAGGAAAAAAAAAAGAGAAATACCATTGGATACGAACTTTTATTTTATTTTTCCAAAAATACCACAAAGGTTTTATTTTTCCAAAAATACTATACTCATAAAAGTTGAATATTTTTGAAGATGTAGATTGTTTTTATGTTTGCGTTGACTATTTACATTTACGGTATAGTTTTTAGGAGTAGAAGATTTATAAATTATTTTGGAAAGGTAAAAAAATTAAGGTTTTAGTTTTGTGGTATTATTGCAAATAAATTGTATTCTAATGGTATTTATAAACTTCATATAATGGTATTTCTGAAAAAAAAAATCATTTTAATGGTATTTAAGAGAATTTTCCAGAAATTTTATTTTTATTTTATATACTTATAAATAGAAGCAAAATTTCTGAAACATATACTCTTACAAGATGTAAAATAGCATTTTCTATTTTTTAATATAGAAACTCATAGGTTATCTTTTATATATAACAGTATCTTGCACGATGGTTAATGTACAATGTGTATTGCCTCTACCAGTTGGATCAAGTGGGATATGTGTTCCCAAAGATTGCAAGTCTTTGTGTCACAAGAAGCATAAAGGTGGTGGTCGATGTACTCCAGAGGAAAAAAATGAGTGCTTATGCTTAGTTTGCAGAGGCTAATTAATGTTTTTAATATTGATAATAAAAAATCATAACATATGTTTAATAATTGAAGACTTATAATAAAGTATTGTGTTACCTTCAAAATTCAAAATTCACTTTTTACCTATAATTGATAATTAATATTCCTCAAGTTTGTATTACCAATTGTATGATTAGTGAAAGTGCATAACATATTATCCAAACGTTAATATAAGTATTTTTAGATAGATAAGATATATATAGTCAAATGAATCAATGTCTCATGTGACATATCTATCCGACATAATAATAAGAGGTTTTTAATTTATTTTTGACAGCAATATAAGATGTTATCAACTACAATTTTAAAACTATACTTTCACCATATTTGATAAGCAATATATGACTTTGGATAAAAGAAATTCCAGCATATTTTTATTTACAAAACTACTATTTTAGTAAATTTCTAAATTTCACCTATTTAATTTTGTAGTTCCAAACTCATGCTATCTCGTTTACTTGTTTTTTTTTTTTTTTTTGGTATTAAAATGTCAGTTAAAAAGTGTATTCTTCAAAAACCAATTTTATTTTTAGAATCTAGGACACAAGAAAAATTAATATATAAATGGAAATTTTTTAAGGTAAAACTAAAACTCAATTATTTGATTAGCTACTATATGTATTAAATAATATTAGAATAATTTGTATCCAACAATATAAATTTATCTCAATTTTTTAATTAAATTTCATTGTTTTATTTATATTAAAATTTATAATTTCTTAATCACAAAGAAAAAAAGAACGAGTCTAGAGCTCTTACATATCAGATGAGCAAAAATGAGGAAGTACTATATGTAAAATAAGAACCCCTTCAATAGGAACTAAAAGAGGTAAATAGCTAAGATTAGACCTTTTAAAACTGAGATCATCTATATTTAACTAATTCATATTTCATATATGTTTGTTCTTTGTTCTTTCGTTTTAAATTTTTAAAACAACACCAATTCATTTTGATAATTTCAGATATGAGGAATTACTTTCAACTCTTGTTTGCTATTTTAACTATCTTCATCATTTGTATATCAGGTTTGTATATTCATATGGAAAATATTATAATGTATTCGATTTATCCGTCTTATGAGAAATTGATTACATATATATACATAGTGATATATCTTATTAAAGTTTACAATATATCATATATATGTCACAAATTTGATTATATCGAGTTTAACTATTCTATGTCAAAACTGTATTTAGAAAATATATATTTAGAAGAATGGTTTCCTCTGACTGTTTTGTTCATGACTTCATTCATTCCCTTCTTTCATTTCTTAATATATTGCAAAAAATCATTGTGATCTGAATTGATCTACAATAATTTCATTGCTATTTATTTATTTATTTATCATCAATTTTTCCTTTCGCTTCAAACTGTATCGATATATGTTATTTTATAAATATATATTATTTTATGTTTCATATATATTTATGCACTTCTAGTGTAAAATTGTCCATAATTTTAATAAAATTAACTCAAACGAGCAAATTTAGCCTTGGGCATTCGGATTTCCGTTCGGGGTTGGGTTCGGATTTTCGGATGTTTGGATGTAGAGATATAGAACCCGATCGGATATTTTATAATTTCGGGTTGGATTCGGATTAGATGCTGTCGGGTTGGGATAATTCGGATATATCCGAAACCTGAATTTGACACCGGATATCTGATGATTTTTGGTTATATTTATCCGAAATTGATAAACTTAACAGTGATACGGTATATATGTCTATTTTTTATATATAAAAATTATATAAAAATTACTCATATATACTATGTTTTGAATATAACAGTATCTGAAGCATGGGAGAATCAACGACCAAATGGACAATGTTCATTGCCTATAGCAGTAGGAGCCAATGGGAAATGTGTTTCTAAAGATTGTGATTCTTCTTGTCACAAGAAGTACAAAGGAACAGGTAGATGTCAAGGAAACAATTTTAACCAGTGTATGTGCTTTGTTTGCAGACGCCCACGCAGACCACCACGCCTTTGATGTTTTATCAGTTTTTACAACAAAACTCAAATCATATTTTTAATAGAACATCTATGTATTATCCGTTTTTTGTTTATACATTGTTTCACAAAATATGTCATTTTATGTCTGTGTAATTTTGTAAACTAAAATCTCAATTTTATATCTATTATTCTAACTTATTATTTAGAAATAGTTATGAAAAAAATATTTTTGATGGACTAAAGCGAATTATTTGGCTATCACAAAAAGAATTGGATATTCGAAATTTCGGATATTTAGAAGTTTCTGAAACATAACAAATATTACATCAAATATTCGGTCGAGACGAAGCGAATCACAAATATTTCAATTGAACAGCCCTGGGCATTCATGTACTCGGGTTCGGGTTTCTCGGGTGGAAGAGTTTAGGATCTAATAGGATAAATATAAAAATTTGGTTTCGTTTCGGTTTGGGTCCATTCGGGTTCGGGTAAAACCGTAAAAGATTTCATAACCGCTAAAAACCCAAAAAATTTCGGGTATACAAATACCTGAAAATTATCCCGATTACCCAAGAATTTTCGGGTAAATGTCCGGGTTTTCGGGGAAATACCCGAATGTTTCGGGTAAAAATAGTTTTTTTGGGTATAAATTCGGATATTCAAATAAATAATTTAGGTATTCGGGTCATAAATTATTTATATACATTTATATTGCGGACATTTTCGGGTTCGGATTCGGATCGGGTTCGGATTCAGATTTTTGGCTAGAAGAGTTTAGGATCTAATAAATAAAATTTCAGGTTCGGGTTTGGATCTAATTTTTGGATCAATTCCGGTTCAGATTTTCGGTTCCGGACTTTTTGCCTAGGCCTACAATCGAATATTCGCTTTATGCCTCGTGCCTAGTTTATAAAGAGCTTTAATTGCAAAACACTTGGCTGAATCTTTAGACAAAGGGGGAAATGGAATCCACACGATAAAGAACACAACAAAGACTAACCAAACACAAAGACACAAGCGTGTAGAAACCTCAAAAGTGTTTATATAGAGCTCTTACAAAAGTTCAAACAACGAAAGGAATAAATCAAACATGACGCATGTAGCCTCCTTGTATCTAGTAACTTGGGAATAGTTCCCATATTAACATGAATCCTCTCTAACTGTTTATAAACTTATGGTTGAGAGATAACATTGACATGCCTTTTACATCTTACTAAGTTCGTCGTTTCCAAATTCTCAAGACATAAAACAGTACTGAAATGCTTACAATGCAGAATCAAAGGTTCCGTAAAACATTTTATCCTAATGAAAGGGAAGAGAGCTTATACAACAATATTGGCTTATTCCCATCGAGAGAGCGCTTCGAAAACGGCTCACAAAACGCACAATCTGACTCGTTACCGCATACTGAATTCTTGCTTTCCAATTTATCGAAAGTATCAGAAGTGACATGCTTTGCAATGCAGAATCAACAACGCTTCTGTGTAAACATTTTGCCCTGAGGAAAGAGTAGAGAGCATATTAATCATACTGAGAGCTTCTAGGCAAGGAGCTTACATTGCTTATACCCAAGTACTCAACGATAGAGAACGAATGGAAGCGGCTCATAAGACGCATTGTCTGATTTTATATGGGATCCTCTAAAACGCCCCGATGAGTTTGCTCCCTGTAGCAGGATCTTCATAGATGGCAACAACATCCTTGACCTTGTCAAAGAGCTGCTCCAAGTGATTCACGCCCATCTTTTTATAGTCTAATGGCCTCTTGTACCTTAGCTTGTATATCGCCTCAAAACAATCCAGCTGTACACGACAACAATAGCTCACCAAAATGTCTTGAAGCTCGACTTTGAACTCTTCCAGATTCCTCTCGCTGTGAACCGAGCCCGTATCTGACAAGTCATCAGAGGAGACTCCTCTATAGGTCATTTCCTCATTAGGCTCTTTTCCTTTCTTCTCTCTTCTAAGTAGAACTACAGGGGAAGAGGGAGAGATTACATTCGGTTTGGAGTTGCGCAGATAAACAATTCTCTTGTTGCCTTTACCATCCACTGTAATCACATCACCCATCTTTTTGAACAGATCCACAAGCTTAGCCACACCATAGTCCGATACAAACAACGGTTTGCTGAAATTTCTTTGGTACTCAGAAGGAATACGCATGAGAGGAATACACCCACCTGAAAGCTCTAGCAGCTTCACAAGTTGTCCCTTCAAACCGTTTAAATCTCCCGGAGCTACCCACATGGTGGACTCAAGTTGACCAGGAGGAGGACAAACAAGACTTTCCCTCAAATTTGATGGCCAACACGACATCACACTACCACTACACTCATTCTGAAACTGCGAGACCATGACAGAGGATTCTCTAGCATTACTACAACAGCTACCTCTATAAAGAATCGTTTCATCTTCATTCATACCATCCAAATGACTATTATCATTAACATTACATCCCATCAGATACGGCACAACACGAGGTTTAGGCACCGGAACAAAACCTTCACCGTGAACAATACTATGCCAGTCCCAAACAAACCTACCACCACTAGACAAAGCAGAATTCACATAAACACCAGAAGGTATAACAAGAATCACAGTATACCCACGCTGACCCAATATATGAAGCGCAGGCGCAAAATCAACATCTCCTGATATCAAAACAATAGTCGAAGGCGGCTTATTATCAAGAACAAACAAGAACATATCAATAAGAATCGCCTTATCAGACGCATCTTTCCTCCCGTTAGGTACATCAACAAGCTTCACACCAGTTCTTTGACACCCTTCTCTAACCCGACGAGGGAACCCATTGAAATCCCCGTAAGCCGAGAACGTAACAACCGGACCAGATATCACAGGATGCAACTCAATAGCCATTCTTATGTTACTAGCTACATCTTCAGGACGCACATCGCTAGGAACAGGACAATTCTCAATGTCCCAGAGTACAGCCACGGGACCATCTGTAACGGAACGTCTTTGGTTTGCAATCATGTTCAAATCTGATGAATAGTTCATCCTTTGTTCTGAAGAATCAACAGAGACTATTGCTGCTGATGGATTACAATAATAACTTGACATAGCTTTTTGTATCATCAAAGGTTCCTAGAAATTTAAAACAAACACAAAAAACCCCCAAATTCACTCGATTAGGGTTTCTTCTGGATTATGATTTTTTAAGCTACGTGATGATTACGAAACGAAGCTCTATGGAATTGAGAATTTTGCGATGAAGAGAATAAAGCAGAAGCTAATGATTTCGTCATTACCTGATTCAAGGGGGAGGAGGAGAGACACGGATCTCGAAGAGCGTAAAGGATTCGAAGATGGGATTTGCTGATAGTTTGATTCTCTTGAAATCTTTCTTCTCCGGCGGAAGAAACTGAAATATACGAAAATGGCGGATTTTGGGATTTTTTTTGGTTCGTCTACAAAAGTTTTTTTTTGGTTAGCGTTATTAAGCGAAGAGAGTCGGTGAAACTAATTTGTTTGCCGTCTCCACCCAAAAAAGATATTCAATAATAAATGTTTTTGATTTTTTACAGGAAAAAAGTTGCAGAACATTACTAAAATAGAACATATATATGAAGTTAGTGTTCCAAAAAAAAAAAATAACATATATGAAGTTCATTTAAATATTTTAGTTTAAAATGTAATATATTAAAAATCCATTTTAATATCTCCTAAGGCTTAAACCCCGAAAAAAATTTAAATACCTTTTCTCCGTCTTAGAATTAGTTATCACTCTGAAGTTCAAATTTTGTTTCAAAATAGTTATCGTTTTAGATTTTCGATGCAAATGTTTCGTAAAAATTCCTAACTTTATTTCACTTATTTAACGTTTTGGGTAATAATAAAAAGTAGAAAATATATTTTAAAATAGAAACTTTAATTATTTTATTAATTTGACAACTAATTAAAAACGGAGGGAGTACTCATTACAAAAAAAAGTCTACTGAAATTAAATTTTCATATCCAAAAAATACTAACCAAACCAAAAACTGATATTATAATCCAAAAATCCAATATAATAAAATTATATCCAAAATTATTAGTATTACTTAGTTATAATTTTATACCCTAAAGTAATAAATAACAACATATTATTTAGATTACTATAAGATCATCAACAGAAGAAGGAAGATATATGTATTCACAATAGTTCTTGTTCTTGATTCATCTTTCCACAAACCCAACAGTTATATTCACATTTCACAGAGTATAAAAGAAGAAACAAACAAAAGATAAGAGTCTCAATGAGATATTAATCATATCGAAACGGAGCGATTTTTCAATCTCCCAACAATATCTTTGGATCAAAGTGGTAGTGAAGAGTTTCTACATCAACGATGTTACCTTCTTCATGAGTTCAAGACTCTTTCGATGGCGGAAATGTAAAACTCTTTAGGCATTGTACCCATGATTGACTCTCGTTTCTCCCCGTTCTTGAAGACCAGAACTACTGGCACAGCTTTGATCTCGTACTCTTCAGCCACCGACAAGTCACTGTCTGCATTCAGGATATAGCAGTTTAGTTTTCCGGCATAGTCCCCAGCTATTTCGTCTATTATCCTGTGGACCATCCGACATGGACCGCACCAACTCGTGTAGAATTCTACTAGCACGGGCGTTTCGCTTTGCAGGACTGAGTCTTCCCATGATCGTTGTGTAACTTCAGCTGCTGCACATAGTAAAACCAGAACAAACAAAAAAAAACGAGATGTCAGAATTTCCAAACTTGTCACACTAAGAATCAACACAACAAGAGGATAGCTAACACAAAGAACTTAAAGCAGCATGTCAACCTAAGCATCTACTAGACTACTAGTCAATCTTTCGTTGGCTTTTATTCTAAGCTATGAAAGTAAATTAGAGTTGTATCAAGCCATACAACCAGAAGAGAACAATGTAAAAACTGTTTAGTAAAAGCATTTGGAACCACAGGTCATACATGCATTACTTACTCACTTTTCCACCAAACTAAATGGTTAGAGATAAACATTCAATACAACTCCAGTGATTTCAATTCATATCCACTTATAAAATATGATCTTCGAGCCTGCGACCATACCGAATACAGTTTCCAACACGCTTTAAAGTGCCTTTCGATAATCTCAACCTGCACAATCTTCACACTATTCTTACCCCACTACATTCTTTCTCAATCACAGGTGAATTCTTGACCTTTGTTCACAGATTTACTTTATTCTCCACCCTATTTCATTGTCACATATATCAAATGAACTTTGACAAATAAATACCAAAGCTCCTACAAAGCTTTCTATAATCTAAACCTGCAAGATCTTCACACAGTTCTTATTCTATTTCTTTAACTCCCTGACCTTTGCAGATATCTCAAATCTCACAGAACTCATACCAAATCAGCATAAAGAAGAACTAAATTTATGATCACGATCAAGAAACTGAAAATTTCCCAAGAGCATTCGATTGAAAGATTCCCCAATTTCTACTTAGCCAAGTGAGATCAAAGAACCACACAAATACTCACAATTCATTGACCCGTACTGAAATATCAAACTATCGAAACATGAAGTAATCAGTATATATATACGTACCTCGAGAATCACGGGCGTAGAGAGGCGAGAGACGAAAGCGAGAGTTAGAAGAAGATAAGAGAGATCGTCTCTGGGAGAGAAGGAGAGATCGAGGGGAGAAGCTGGTGACTGGGAAAAGACGCGACGGAGAAGAAGTAGATCGAGCTGAGTTGATGCGTGTGGATTTGAAGCATATAGTGGAAGAAGAAGAAGAAGAAGAAGACGCCATTGAAGAGTTGATTTGAGAAGAAGAGAAGAGTGAAATCTCAATTTCTTCAGATCTGATGAGAGAGAAAGGGTACACTGAACTTTTTACACTTGTCATGATAATTATTTTATTAACTACAAATAATAATGACAGCTCAATTCAATTATTAGAAGAAAAACTCGGTTTAACCGATTTAAACCAGAATCAACAACATTAGATTGGTAACCAATTGAATACAACAATCAACTAAAACTTATAGCTGAGATCATTTTTTTTACATAATCATAACTAAATCAACTCTTCTTTCCTATTTATTAGTGGTATTAATGATTTTTTAAAATTATACATTAGTGTCAAACTGTCAATACAACTTCATTTCGTCATATAACCCGTCATGCGTAATAATATGGTATGTTGTATTTTAATATTTTTATAGGTTTAAATGCTTATCTTCATATAACTTATTAAAATTTTAAAATTTATTAATATAACTGCATTAAGGGGTATTTGCAAAAATAATTTTTAGATGTAAAAATACCCTCATTTGTTATCTATTTTCAAATACCGTCTTTTAGGTATAAAATAACTAAATTATACTCATTTACTAGAACTCATGATGAAAAAAAAATATTCCTTCAAACAAAAGAAATATTTCTTTCGTTAAAATCTCTGCCAAAAATTTATGACAAAAAAATTTAAAGCTATAATTTTCATCCATAATTTTCCGCAATTCTTTAGAAAAACCTTTTAAAAACGTTGTAAAAATTTTAGAACTCTTAGAATATCCTTTAAAATCCCTTGTAAATCTTTTAAAAGTTATCCAAACCTTTAAAAAATCTAGTAAACCTTTTAAAACATTTATAAGTCATTTTATAACTTTTGTAAACACTTGTAAACCCCTTTAAAAACCTTTATAACCGTGCTAAATCATTTCACACCTTTTATAAACACTTAAAAATCCTTTAAAAAAATTTCTTTAAAAATCTAATAAAATTCTATTAAAAATACTTGTAAATCTTTCAAAACCACTTAAAAAACCATTTAAAACCCCTTGTAAACTCTTTAAAAGTCATTTTAAACTTCAAAAACTATTTAAAAACTTTTGTAAATCACTTTAAAAAACATTTAAAACCCTTGTAAATATTTTCAGAACCATTTTAAATCCTTGTATATTTTTAAAAACCCTTGTAAACCCTTTAAAATCCTTATAAACTTCTAAACCTCTTTAAAAACCATTTTAAATCTTTTACAAACCTTTTAAAAACCCTTGTAAACTTCTAAAACTATTTATAGACCCTTGTAAATTTTTTTAAAACCATTCAAAAGTTTTGAAAACCATTCAAGAACTCTTGTAAATCCTTTAAAAAACCTTGTAATTTTTTTTTTAATTCCGAGAACAGTTTCCCCGCGAAAAAAGATTTTGGCAGAAAAAGCTGTTGCAGGAATAATTCAATTTTTTATTTTGTTGACTTAAATAATTTTCAGCTATGAGTAAAATTGTCGTTAAATTAAGAGATGACAAAAACAAAAATGATCAAAAATGATATTTTTGCAAAATAGTATCATGGAAAGTGCATTAGTAATAACTTCTCCTCAATTAAACTGATACAACCTTTTAAATTGGGATGCTTGTTAAGTTAAAATTTTATCTCACTCGCATTTAGATTCAATTTAGGTGTTCGCTATGTTAAACTTTTATCCCACTCAAATTTAGAGTCAATTCAATTTTATTTATAATACTAGAATCGGACCCGCGCTACAGCGCGGGGGAAACGTTTCGATTTGAATTTTTTTCATAAGAAAAATATTTTACTAAAATTAGGGTTTTCCGGTTTTATTGATAATTTGTAATGATAATTCAAAAGTAACAGTTAATCAGTTGCAATTGGGAGTGGGGGTATTAATTTCGTGTTCGTTAATCCAAATAGTTAAAATTTTGATGGGTACTTATTTTAAAATATATTTTGTGATTTTTTTAGTTTTAGTTTCTTTTTCAAAAAATTAACTGGTATGTTATTATATGTCAATGTTTGTTTATTTTTCTTTAAGAAAAAAATATGAATTGTGCTTTTTTAAGTTTGTGTAGTAATATTGGGTAATAATATTTGTTAGATTAATGAAATAATTTTTACTAATTTTTTTAATTTGCACTTAGTAAACGGTCTTCTAATGATATACAAGTATTTTTTTTCACAAATCTTAAAGGTAAGAATCCATGCAATGAGGATGGTGTAAGTATTGTTTAAGTGTTGTTAATAATATTTCGAAATCCAAACAAAAAGGGCTAGGATTCTTCTTCACAAATCTTAGGTTAAGGATTTGCATTGAGGATGGTATAAAGAGTCCATTTTAAATGTCTCACCAGCAATACACGTAGGGAAAATTAATTATCTCACAAAAGAAACAAAGTAATCAACGCATACACAGTGAATGTTCTTAATTTTCCTAAATCTAGATGAACAACCGATTTCCTTCCATGGTTTTTTCCCAAAATCGTTTCGATGATATCTCGAAACTTTCATTTTTAAAGTTTAGTGAATAATGTTTACACGGTTTTCATAAGAATTGTATTTTTGAAAAAAGTAAATCTTATTCGATGTTTGCTTTGAATCTATACATGGAACAATAGAAGATATGTTCATAAGACACATGCGATAAACATGAAATTCGATTGGTTGCTCTGAATTTTTTCATTGCCTTAGTCAACATGAAATTCTCAATGATACTCCATTGTCCAAGTACCTTAGAAAGGATAGAAATTAAAGTGTTGTTAGAAGACGTAATGAGAAGCAAAAATGGAAAAACTTCTGAATCAGTAGCCATTGCCATAGGGAAATAATTAAGATGGAGAAGAATGGTTTTCTTGAATGTTGAATAAAGACTTTCGACTACAATCCTTATATAGGAGAAGGGTTACTGCGTTAATTTAGGTTTGGTTTGGTAAAGAATATTCAGGCAATATTCTTTAAATAATTATACGTGATTAAGTGGGAAAAGTTAATTAGAATAATTTTATGATTTGATCTACGTATATATGGATAGTTTAGTTTTCTCGACGCTCTTGAAAAAATTAATTAACTTTTTTAACAAATGTTTGAAGATTGTAATCAAATTATTGTATATTCTTTCAACTTATAATCCCGTAATTGGATATTTTGTAAACATAAAATCCCGTAACAAATGCAAAACATAAAATTAGGAATATGTTAGTCTAATATTTTAATTAGCGTTGCCATAAATGTTACAATTTAATAATTAATGACAAATTAATGACGATTATGAACGATATAGTATAGCATAACATTCGGCAATGTATTAAGAAAAAAATTAGGAAATGGATCTAACCCGAACCCATAGAAATATCCGATTAAAAAGATCCAATTTCAGTTTCCGGATAATTTTTTTATTTAACCCGACCCGAAAGAGTTTTTTGTACTTCTCTTTTACTAATATAGAGATGACCTTGAATCATTATTAAATAAATTTTAGCCAATGTAGAATATTGGAAAAAAAATATGAATATTTCTAATTTATTTTCAATGTTTATAGAAAAAATTGATTGTAAAGGTTGTTTGGATACATGGCTACAAATTTGTATTATTCCATATAAACTTATAATTTGTGTAAGTCAATATTAAAATGTTTTCCTTGTAATATCTTACAAACTAAAAAATTTATCTAAATTACTTTTAAAAAAATTGTTAAGTTAGAATTTTATATATAATAACTTCTTTTTTTTTATCATATGATGTAGTAAAAGGATCTTTTGATTAGATACAGCATTAACAAAAACAAAAAAAGATACAGCATTAACAATATTAGAGTATAGAATACTTATTAAATTTTATATTATTTTAATAAGAAAGAATATATGCATTATTTACTCAGGAGCATGATGTACGTAATTTTTTCCTTATTGAACGATCTAGATTTAAACAAGTATTAATATATTTATGTAAGTTTTGAAAAATATTCAAGATCAAGAATTTGTTCAAGATCAAGAAGTATCATAAACTTCAAGCTTTTAATTAGAAAATTTTAGATGATAGTTCAAATGGAGTACAAAAGAAATTATTATTTTAATTTTTCTTTTATTACATTATATTCTTTTACTCGTGAATGTATAATTTGAAAAGCACTATTATGGTTACTAAAACTCACATTCCATTTAATAGTTTTGTTGGTGATTTGAAAACCCATCAAAAGGTGAAAGGATCTTGAGTTTAACGCTGGGTCAAAAACCATAGTCAAACCAAGATTATTTTAGTGACATCGCATATCGCACAAAATGATTTGAAACATTATGCGTATGTTAAGAATAATTTTTTCCACCCTTTATTTTGAACTTAATATCTTGGATGCAATAAAAATAAGTCAAATTCATAACATTTTTTTTGTAGCCCATCTATTATAGTTATAATATTATAACTAATAAGAAAATTCACTATAGTATAAATTTGGTAAATAAAAAGAACATATATATGACACCATAATATTTATATTAACTAAAAAAATTTAATCAAGATCATTACACTAATTAACTTATTTTAATAATTTATTAAAAACATGGATCTGTGGTGTACTACGGGGTAAATTCTAGTTTAAGGTGATAATATGGTATAATATGTTTTTTTTTTTTTTGAAAAAGTAACATTGAGACATTAAAAAAACAAAAAAAAAATTGTTGTAGTTAAAAAATTATTGCTATATATAAACAAAAACATTGAAGAGACGTCTAGATATGGACAAATGCATGGGCTGTGTTGTGTGTATCATAATTTGCCGCGAGCTTCGTTTAGTCCTTTTCTTGGTCCACATACATATTTTGCACATTGGATCTAATTTATTCTTTCAAATGCAGTCACCATATATAATTTATGTGGTCTAAAACTTCATATCAGATATTATTTGTTTGGAAAATTTAAAATTCTGTACTAAATAATACTCTACACAAACTCAATAACAATATTACAAGACTATTTAGTAATTAGTAACTTCTATAAATTTTGGTAGAATAATTTAGAAAACAGTCTAATTTTGAAAAGATGCAATATACATCATCAACTAATTTTTTATATTAAATTCAAATTATTTAGTATGCCATACCACTTAAATTTCTTATTTAATAATTCCATAGAGATGATATATCTATTTTAAAAAGTTTTATTGTAAGTTTACTACTATTGGATTTTCTCGTAAACGCAAAACGATTTTAACGTTTTATACCAAACATATCAAAAGGAAAGAAAACATGTAGTTGCATATTCTTTCTTACTTAAAAATAGACAGTAATTTGCATTTTTCTTAACTTATTCTGCCATGCTCACACTATTTACCTGTATTAAAATATTATATATTTATTTTATTTTATGCAATCATTTTTATTGATTTCATATATTCAAAAACAAAAAATATGATTACTTAATTTTAGTATTTTATATTTATAAACTATAAATCTTAAAAAATAACTTCTATCAGAATCTTTATTAATATGAATATAGTATTTAATAATTGAAAATTAACATGTTTTTAGAAATTTTATAAAACATCATTATTATCCATAATATGCTATTTATATGTTTACAAATGGAATATAGCACATTTATATGTTCCTTTGCACCACATAATCATCCATCAATAGTAGGAAAATCTTACAAGTTTGAATACTAAAACAAATATAGTATGAATAATGAAATAACGTATAAATAATTAGTTATTTCTACAAAATACTAGTGTATCATATATTATCATGTCAAGTACCAATAATAACAAAAAGAACAAATTGGCACTGTGTCAGGCAAAAGAAAAGTATATGTAGGAGTATTTTTATCAACTTTTTTATTCATTTTTGGTATGGTTTTTAATCCATTTTCTCTATCTCATAAATTCTTTTATTTTATTTAACATAACTTGTTAATTATACAATTTACTCCTAAAATAAATACATGGAATACAACATGAAATAAAACGTACACTTAAATCACATCCACTTAACTCCATCTAAATTTGTTTCTCTTGCAATTATCCTTATAAAAGATGATTTTACAATGTAATTTCAGGTGTTATTTGAAATAAAAAATAATAAAAAAATCTCAACATTAAAAAAAAGTTCTCAACATTAGTTATTTAATATTAATCAAGGACAAGCCTATCAAATATAAGGATTAAAATATGATTTAAAGCAATTGATTAAATGGGAACACACAAAGCAAACATAAACACTTAAATCATATGCACCTAACTTCCATCTAGACATATAGTGATTTATTTATTTATTTATTTATTTATTTTGCAATTCTCATAGAATTAATCTGTTGATAGAAAATTTAAGTGCTATTTATTTTTATAACATATAATATATTCCAACATTATTTATATAAATTTTAGCACCTTCTCATAGTATTAACTATTAAACAATGACAAGCCTATCACATCTAAGTTGCAATTTTACGAACCCGTTAATTATAGTTTGTAATACCATCAATACGTAAAAAGATAGACAAAAGTAAAATTATAGTGTTATCTAATTAAAAACCAAAGGTGTCGACCTAATTAACCCATCTTTATATTGCTTTTCCTCAATTATTAGTAATATACAAATATAAATATTAGTAGTAGCTCTCGCTCATTTTTTTTCTCTCTAGCTCCCTCTCTCTCTATTTTGAGGCAAAAACTAAAAACACAACCACAAAAGCTATGGCTGGTATGCTTCCCGGAGTTGAGTGCGCAAGGAGGCGACGTTTCCACGGCGGTGCTCCTCCGATCGAATCTTCCAACGCGGCTGCCGTGGCTGCGGCAGTAGGACACGTGTGGACGCGGCGACCATCGTTCTCTCTTTACACTACCAATAATGAAAGCCACCAAGCACATGTCTCCTTCTCGGTAATAACATATATAGTTTATAAAAACATTTCTTGAGGAGAAATATTAGAATCTTTGAGTTTATAAAATGGTATAGGAGAGAAGTTTTAGGAGCAAGTCTTATGGAGAAGACAGCGACGAGAAACTCGACGGAGCAGCCAAAGAGGCGAAGCAAAGGCTGAACGAACGGCTGAGAATCCCGCGCACAAGGTTCGGTTTAGTACAAAATGGCGTATGATAGTAAACTCAAGTAAATCACCTTAAAATGCGCCGTTAGAAGATTCAAAAGCCACTCTCGTAATTTTCATGATAAGGACACATGATGATGTGTATTGTACTCTCTAATTCTAAAAGAATTAATTACGAATAGTCCCTTTTATCTAGCCAAATTTTTTGGTTTTGCCATTTTTAGTAAAATCTTATGAATTTTTGCCATTTTTCAGATTACGAAAATGCGATTAAACATACGTTTTACTCGTTATGTTTTGGATTTCGTTGGTTCTAATTATCTTTAGGTTTTAGTATTTTACTATAAAGTACATATTTTAACCCAAAAAAACGGTTTTTAAATGTTTTAAAATAGTAAATTCATAAAATTTTATTTAAAAAATTATACATTCATAAAATTTGTATTTTTCATAAAAATCCCATTCTAAAACATGTGGTATCACATGAGCATATAATTGTGAGATCGTCTTTTGTCGGACAATTATTAAAAAAATTTCTCTTTAAAAGTGTTAGCCCCACGTTGGGTCTATTTGGCGCATTTTAGCAAGTGTGTTTTGTTAAGTTGCGTGTGTGTTTGTTTGTTTTCTATAGTGGGAAACTTCCCGGAAACTACTAGGCAGCTTCCAAGAAAAACTTGACATTACTCTCTTTTGAAATTTGTTTTCCATTTTTAAGTTCAGGCAAAATGGTAAAGACAAAGGAAATTACAAAGGGATCAAAGGTAAACTTCATGGGGAGTTACTGACCGAAGTGGTCGGGTTGAAGAAGAGCCGAGGAAGGTTGATGGAATGGTTCAAGTGGCGAGTAAGGGAACAACAAGACTGTGCTATATGTTTAGACCAGTTCAAGAAGGGTGAGACATTGGTACACTTACCATGTGCTCATAAGTTTCACTATGTATGCTTATTGCCTTGGTTAGACACCAATGTGTATTGCCCTTATTGTAGAACCGATATTTGGAATTAAATTTCATATTTCTAGGTCTTGTTTATGGCTAATCTTAGTTTTAAAAAAAAAATATTTCTAATGGGAAAACTCTCACGTGTCTAATCAAAATATCATAACTTGACATATCAATCATTTAGCCTATGAATCTATTAATTCCCTTGGTTTCCCAACTAGAACTTTGCAATACTGATCAGAATTCTTTTTTTAAGGGTTAAACTCTAGAAATTAGACATTCGATTTTATGATTTTTAGGTTGGTTTGTTCATTCGTGTTTTGACTTCAAAACTTTTAAGTTCATCCACAAAACACCGTGTCGTGTGCCAACTGTCACTTCGAGAGAGTAGAAATATGTAAAACAATGGGACGATCCATTTTTCTTAATTCGTTAATTTATAGTCTTATACCTATTAACTAACCATACTGAATTAATTCTACGATAACCAGCGGAAATAAATCAATTAAACCAGCCATAAAAATAAAACAACTCTAGTTCAGTAGAAGAAATAAACCCATCAATATCCATCAATGAATCAAAAACCAGCAACTCTAACATGTTACTAACTTCAGGATTCCAGTAGAAAAAAAATGGTTGATTTTGGAAAATAAATGGGCACATGACTCATTGCAAACTAGCCGTGGGCACGAAACGAATATTCGCTTCGCCTCGACCGAATAGTTGATTTTGCTATTTGCTTCGATTCGTAAATTTTCGAGTATTCGGAACTTCGAATATTCTAATATTTTTCGTAATATTCGCGAATTATTCGCTTCGACCCATCTAATTTTTTTTTTTGAAACTAAAAACATATAGTACATAAACATAAGATGAAAAATGTGAGATATTAAAGGTTCTTGTTTGACATGTTTTCAAAATAAGAAGGAAATGTAACTACCGTCCATAGGATTCTCACATTTTATTTTTAATATTGATTTTTCTAATAAAGTTTTATTTTTATTTGCTTAAAACAATATTTAGCAAAAGCCCAACGGGCCAAAATATAATAATCTGAATAATAGACCTATTAGATATAAACTCAAATCTATAAATATACATATTATATGTATTATAAAATGATTTATATTTATACATATATATAAATATATGAAGCGAAGTGGATACTCAACATTAAAAAAAATCAATATTTGTTATTTGCTTCGGTTTTTAGGAATACTACATTTTCATATTTGCTTTGTTTCAATATCTTATAGATATTTGAATTTTTCGAATCGAATCAAAACGAATATCGAAGCGAAGCGAATCTAACGAATATTTTGTCCAGGACTATTGCAAAGAAATTTATTTGTACTTGTATAGAACCGACATTCTAAGACAATAAAGTACCGAAATTTGTGAAGGTTAAACATACAAAGAGTTTGAGAATAAATTCTAACAATTAGATGAATAGATAAAAAAACAATTTTAAATTGTTCATTTTGTTTGTAACTCGAATTAAAAGAAATAAAAATTATAATATGTTTGAAAACTATTAATCCGATCAGAATGTTTGATAGAGACACACTAATCATAAAGGAAGCTTTGAGAGACAGTTGCCCTAAAGAGAGGGTATTGTAAGAGTAAATAGCACTTCCACAGGACACTCTTTGGTCAACAAAATATGTTATTTTTCATTAAGAATGCATAAAATCTTTTACTTCCTAATTAAAACGGTATGATCAAAAACTAAGAAGTTTATCTTTATAAAAAAAATTTCCTTATAATATATATCTCATTAAAGATGTATAATTCATTTCTTAAATGTCCCTCTATATAGAATTTAAAAGATTTGCTAACATGTCATGCTGTTGTTTAAACAAAATCTATCGAAATTTAATATTTTCTTCATATATTAACATTTTAGAGATAGAGTTTCTCCATTAAAGGTAATATTAACTGGAGATACATTGGAATATGCTGGCAATATATATATATATATATATATAATTCCTTATAAATACTAAAAACAACCCCAAAATATGGATTTTATTATGGCTTTACACCCCAAAAAAAATAGTAAAATTAATTAATATTAAAATTTAGGAGCCTTTTCAAGATTCACTTTTCCTTTGTATATGTTTACAAAATCAGAAATGGCTCTTACACAACCAAAAGAAAAATAAAAACATGGCCAATACAATGTCCAACCACAACGCTCCACAGCCGCCCAGATCGCTAGTGAAGCAACACTCGTGGTCGCCAGACATGAATCGCGACCAAGCTTGGCTTCGTAAGAAAAAGAAACCGCCTATGGATCTCATTCGTCGCAGCAAGAGTGTCACGAACGACGATATCGAAGAGCTTAAAGGCTGTTTCGAACTTGGGTTTGGGTTTGAGACAGAATCACCTGATTTGAATCCAAGGCTCTCTCATACAATACCCGCTCTCGATTTATACTGCGCGGTTCGTAGACAATACAGCAACCATTTGTCTCGGACATCTTCATTCGCGTCCGAACATGAGGGTAGTAACAACTCCAACAGCACCACGACCATTGTGGACAAAGGTATGTGTATAGACTCTAGTTTCAGAATCAGTTTTTGTTTTTTGTTTGTTTGTCTGAATATTCTCCGGTTAACTAATAAAGGTGATGATAAGAAGACGATGAAGCAGAAGCTGAAACAATGGGCTAAGGTGGTCGGGTTCTCGGTGAGACACTCCTCCGGGAAACAATAGTTTTTGTAATATAATGTTTTAACAAACTCTAAAATGTTATGTATTTGAAATGTTAGTGGGTAAGACACAAAGTGAGTTTATTTGAACCAATTAAATACAAAATTATCGATTGTTATGACTTATGAGTATGTAAATCACTGCAAGAGCACCAGAGCCGGTCCTAAGACACAAAGGATGGATTAAATTATCTTGTTGGGCTCTTAATTTTATGATTAAGGGTCATCAAAAATATTATATAGATAATCAAAATTATTTATTAAAAAAAATATTGTTAATAAAATGTCATATATATAGGCTTAAAAAAAATATGAATCGAATGATAGAAACAAAACAAAATTTTATATTGAAAATACGTATTAAACTTGGGTCAGTCTTACTCGGAGTAAAGGGCCATTTTCAACCTGGACAATTTTGAAAGTATATATCCATACATCAACTATATATTTTTTGCCCGTCTTACTAACAAAATGTATCAAAGTTGAGGTATAAAAATACACTTTCGAAATTGTACATGTTGAAAATGGCATTTTACACGTCTTACTAGCTAGATCAATATAAAATTTATGCCAAGAATTTTTCAAGAAGTAGGTCTATATAGAAAAGAGAACCCAATTTTATTTTAGTTTGGGCTTTCATTTAAAGGTCAGCTATCTCCAAGATAAATTATATTTGTATATCCAATTATATTAATTTTATAAAATAATAAATTTCATTTCTATTAAATATATGTAGCTCTAGTTTTTATTTAAACATAATTAGATTAGTTATATATTTTTCTTAAATTTATTATTGGACATGTACATATAATCTTTTTTGGGGACATAGGACATAAAAGTAATTTTAAAAACATAACGACAAAATATAAGTCGTCGTTGATTACAAAATCTCAAATATTAATGATAACTGGCGGTACAATCAAAACGTAAAAGTTTGTCATCGTTTGTTGGAACATTGTACGGAAAGATCGAAAAATTATGACGATGATCGAGCTAAAACAAAATATAAGTTGTCGCTGATTACAAAATCCCAAATATTGTTTTTCTTTTCTTTTTGTACATAAATTTAAACCAGAACTTTCACTAACGATAAATTTTTTGTATTAAGGATAAAACCCTTTTCTGATTTTGAATTACAATTAATTTATTTATTAGTTTTCTTATTCTGTTTTATAAAATTGAAATTATATATATATATATATATATCCGTTATATATGCATCACATTAATCATTATTTCAGTATTTTTCAAATTCCCCCAAAACAATATTTTAGCAATAAGTATTTGGCATATTGGTGTGCGGTACTTTTAGCTAATACCACTTGTGACACATGCATAAATTTCACTTTAGCTATATAATCACTACCAAATACTCCCTTAATTTATTATTAATCCATTTCTAGAAAAAGAAATTGTAACAAATAAATATTTTTAAGTTTTTATTCATTTTAATGACTTATTAATGACAGATTTTTTTTTAAATGATAACTATTGGTTTATAAATATATAAAAATTGTTAATCACAAAAATAATTCATTTATAGTCATCTTTTATTATGTAAGAAAATTTTACAAACTGGAATAACAAAGAACAGTGGACATGTTAGAATGTAGAGCTCTCTTATATATATATATATATATATATATATATATATATATATATATATATATATATATATATATATATATATATATATATATATATATTTGCAATTTATCTTATACTTTTATTTCTTTCAGTTTCAATATAACTTTTTTTTTATAATACTCATGTCTATATGCTATCAAATCTTCAATCTTCGTTTTCTGTTTTGCGTATTTTAGTAATTTTAGTTTCTTACTTTTAATTTTTTTTTAACCAATTACAATACTTCCAAAGTTTAGTGAGTAATATACACTAAATCATATGGAAATGTGTGGTGCTAAATGTGTCGTATATTGTATAGGAAATTGAATAAGCGTTTCAATAAATAATATTAATGTCGTATATAATCATTCTATGTACTGTTCACGTGTTTTATATAGCCTTTATATATATGAAGTGGTTCTTACACACTCAAAGAGAGAAAAAGAAAAAAAGAGCAAAAACCTATAGCTACTACTACAATGTCGTCGAACCACAACAATCCACAGCCACCAGAACCACTGAAGAAGCAACAGTCTTTGAACCGCGACGAGGCTTGGCTGCGGATGACGAAGAGACGTCCATCTGATCGCCTTCGTCGTACCAAAAGCTGCATCACAAACGACGATATCGAGGAGCTTATAGGCTGCTTCGACATAGGGTTTGGTTTTGAGCCTGACTCTTCTGACTTTAGCCCGAGGCTGTCTAAAACTATCCCAGCTCTTGATTTGTACACCGCGGTTCACAGACAGTACAACAACCATTTGTCCCGGACCTCGTCGGAACTTGACGTCATCAACAACTCTAGCACCACCACCACTATCATCAACAAAGGTTCTCATTTTTTTTTTCTTTCTTTTGTAGTTACGTTTGTTGTTTGATCTTAACTTTGTTTTTGATGATGGATTTGAAAAAAGATGATGATAGTAAGACGATGAAGAAGAAGTTGAAACAGTGGGCTAAGGTGGTCGCATGTTCAGTGAAGCATTCCTCGGGCAAACCAAATTAAAGAAGTGATTAGTGTTGTCTTCTAGTTATGTCCGAAGAATGGCACTTTTGTAATATATATAACAAAAGTCTTTCAATTAATGTTTGTTTTGTAATTTAACCGTTAGCCAAGTGAGGTTTGTGAAGTACCTTAAGCGGATAAGACAATGTCTAGTCAAACTCTAAACCCCAATTATTCTCCTAAAATCTAAAATATCGTTTCCTTAATTAAACTTGGCTTTGGTTGAAGAGAGAACGTAAACTTGTTTTGGATGCTTTGCTTATTCAATTATGCAATTAGGCTTCTTTAAACTTCAAAGTGGCATTTATTTCATAATGCAAATATTTGGTATTGGGCCTATATATTAAGGAAGACTATTTGGACCTCCTTGAGAATGGTATTGCAAATATATTTGATATTGGCTCTAATTAGCATGTCAATCGGGCTGGCCTGGCCCAACCCGTCCTGAAACCCGTAAAACCCTAATATATTTGAGTCCGGCCCGGTCCGGCCCAAAAAATATCCGAGGCTATATTTCAAAGTCCGGCCCGGCATGACAGTGCTACATGGCTTTTTCAGATTTTTTTGGGCTTTACTTACGGATAAAATCAACTTCTAAGTTCATAACAGTTTTTTAAAAAACAAAATTTAAATGTATACTATAAAAGAATGCATCAAATTTTGAATAACTTATCAATATTGGTTAAAAATAACTTAATTTAAGAGAAAAAAATGACAACCAAATAAATTGTTTACACTTTAACCCAATAAAACATGGAACTAAAATACTTTAAAGTAGATGATACAGTCAAAATTTATTATACTTTGATGATTTCAAAATCAAGATACTTATATATATATATATATATATAGTTTTAGTTTTGTTCTGTTTTGACATATATAAATAATAGAAAATGTCATAGATAAAGATTTTAAAAGTATTAAATATGGCTAGTAAGTTCTTATGAAAACTAATTCATTAATCAAATATTCTAACCGAACTAAAATATTAAAAAATTCAAAATATATTTGTTTAAGGGTTTTTTGGGCTGGTCCGAGCCCGGCCGAGTTAAGCCCAGATAACCCTTAAGCCCGAATGGGTTTAGCCCAAAAGGCCCGAATTTTTCTAGACATTTATATTTAAGCATGAGCCCGATATTTTTCAGGGTTGGGCCGGGCTAGCCCGCGGGCTTTCGCCCTAATTGACATGCCCTAACTAAACCGGAGCACAATCATTATGATCAAAACAAGAAGTTTGGAGTTTGGTTAAGTTTTTGATCTATGGGAACAAAAACCGGTTAAAATTGGTTAAAATCGGTTCAAATTCTGTATATTTTGGTATAAATTTTATTTTATTTTAAAAACCAGGTTTCCGGTCGGGTTGGGTCGGGTTCGAAGACCGAACCCAAATCTCAATCTCTCTGAATTAGATTGAAATTCGATTTGGGTTGAACCAAAACCCAAAAAAATCGGGTCGGATCAGGTCGGCAGCTTCAAATCGGGTTAAAATCACAGGACTGGTATTTATACACGAATCTTTGAGTCGTGCTTATAACTACACGAACTTAGCTAAAATATAATAATTTTACACGAACAATCCAAATCTGACAAAAACCATCAACTTGATAAACGATGTGACTGTTCCGTCAACAAATTTAGAACAAATCTACACGAAAAGTCGAGTGCGTTTTACTCTCGTCAAAATTGACGAAATAATCGAAAAAATGATCTAATATTTGTAGTTTTGTACATGAACTTTTTTTCTTGTTGATTTAGCCTTTGATATGTATGAAACAGACTGAAACATCTATATATATAAAGTTAACTTTTTCTCTCTTCTCCTTAACCCACATCATCATCCACCTCATTTTATTATTTAATTTTTAAAATTAATTATACCATTTTATCATTAAATTTTAATATTTAAACCTATTTAAATAAGTTTTTCCAAAATGAATATGAAAGGTCTTTTTTATATTATGCATTATAAAACTAAAAAAGATAATTGATTAAGAGTTAAAAAACTTACTAATTATCGATTATACTAACAAATATATAAATAATAGATTATAGTTTTTAATGAATGTTTAATATATATATATATATATATATATATATATATATATA